ACCACCCGCCCTCGGGGGGGGCGAGGAGGACGAGGAGGAGGAGGAGGACGAGGAGGAAGAGGAGGAGCCAGCGGCGGAGGAGACACACGGCTGAGCGCACACGGGCGCCGCAGGCACCTCGTCACTCACGAACGCCGCCGCAGGTGGCGGGCCCGGCGGCGGTTTTGCTCGCGCGAAGAGCGCGATCGCGCGCTGCGCGTCGGGCGACAGATTCACGTAGCCGCTCCAGTTTTCCGGTGCGCCAACCGCCCGCACAGATGAGATCGCGAACACATCGCAAGAAACCAGAAACTTGGCGACTTCCTCAACGACCGTGGGTGACGCCCACGGGGTCGCAACGGCGATCTGGTCGGCGAGCTTATTCTGGCGCGCCGAGGGGCGCGTTGAGAGAGGTCGCCCCGCGCCCTGCGCGCCTCTCGATAGCCCCCTTCGCGTGTGAGAGCGTTCGTGCCGCGTTACTGACGCGCCTTCCCGGGCGGCGCTCGCGTCTCTATCTCTGATGCGAGCCTTGCGCGGGGTCGAGCGGGAGCGACCGGCGCTGGCCGGTGACGGCGCGGCTAAGGCGACGTCGTTTCGATTGGGTCGTCATCGACGTCCGCGCCCTGCGGCGCGCCCACCATCGTCGTGCGATAGTCGTTGGTATCAGATTCGCTGCTTGAGCAGCTGGACTCCGGTTCGAGTTCCGTGCCGAAGGTGCAGAGTGCTTCGTCCAGTCGGCATTCGATGGCCAGCTGGATGGCCCGGAGGATCGTCGCGCGCGCGTCCCTAGACAAGCCCAGGGACGGCACTGACTCCGCGGGAAGCCGCCCGAGCTGGAACCACGAGCGGATCCCGCGGCCCCGCAGCCACGAGGCCGCCGCGTCCGTGTCGCGCTGCCGCATCTCGCTCCTGAAAAGGGAGTGCGCCGCGACCTTCGCGAGATGACTTGCGGTGTGCGCTCGCTGGATCAGCCGAACGTAACAGCACCTCCGCGGCGGTGTTCGATCGCGCGCCATGGATACGTTGAAAATGCCCTCGGGGCGGGGGCAGACTTGCCGCATGACGCTACGCGCGAGCGAGCGCGGGGTGACGGGTGGGCGGGAGAGCAGGAGCGGGGGGAAGGAGAGCACTGGCGAGGCCGCGAGAGCGCTCAGACGGGACGGGCCGCGAGCTGGCATGGCAGCTGGAGGTCCCAGAATTCTGGCCGCAGCCACGGGCGCCTCCAGGTGGCCCCAATGCGTGTCATGAGATCATAATCCTCCCGACTGGGCAGGTCAGAAATGTTATCAACTGGCGCGCCGCGGGAGTGGGACCCGACCTGACAGAGATAACGCGCGGGCCCGCCGGAAGGGACACGGTCGATCCGGAGGGTGATCTGGAGCAGCCCGATCACCGACCAGAAGTGGTGGACGATGGCCCCGTGGTCGCAGCACTTCGCTGATCCCTTTCGGAACGACCATTCGGCGATCGTGTTGTCGCTTAAGAGGCGAACCTTGCGGCCCCGGAGCTCCTTCTGCCAGGTGGAGATCGCCAAGGCCGAAGCGAGCATCTCGAGTCCGGCGATCTGATCGTCGCTCCGCTGCTGGTATTGCCTGCGCGCAGGCCGAATTGCATCGATCGGTCGCCGGCGCGCGATCGGGGCCTCGTTAGCCAGGCCGGCGGCATCTGGTCTGTGTATTCCCAACGTCCGTCGATCCCGAGGACGGCGGCCGCTCGTGGGGGCTCGCCCCGGGCGTCAGCGAAGGCAAGGACCGGCGGGCGGGTGTCCGCGGGCTCCCATTCCCTTGTCTCTGCAACGATTCTCTGCAACACTTCCAACCACCACGCCAGGCTGCGCAGGGCGGGGCGCGGTAGAAACGGACGCCCCGAGTGTGCGTGGGCGAACAAGGGCCGCAGCATCGCACGGCCTAGTTTGCGGAATAGCCACGACGCCGCCCACGACAACGCGCCCGCGAGCTTGGCGGCCCCACCTGTGCAAAGAAAGGTGTCGCCCCCGGCGCGCGCGGCGCGCGATCACGCGCGCGCCTGCGGTCATCGAACCGTCGTCAAGCGCCGTCCTGATTCAGTTCGTCCATTTGTCGACCTTGTCCTTGGACGGGCGCGCAATCAGCCCTTTGCGTGAGGTCTGCGACACCGCACGCACAGTGCCCTACCCCCCCATT